GTTGTTAAGAAGAGTTTATTGGTTAGCAAGAGTTTATTGGTCAAGTACTCAATTTTATTTACTTTGGCATTTCCAGTCACAATGGAAAGCAGGCAGCTTACCTGCTTTTCCTCCCTAACCCCATTCCCACCCTGCCTCATTTTATAACTCAGAAACACCAATGAGTTTTCCTCATTGCCTTCTATAAATGCTCAGTAATTTTTTTTTTCTGTGAGTGTTGCTGAAATAATCTATCTTCGAGTCCAGCATTCAAAAAAGCACAGAGAATGGTCAAATGTATTTTCTACAGTTAACTCCCTCCCATTTCTTTACTCTCACCACCTCTTTGACCTTGTCAGAAAGGATCTCTTTACTTCTTCCTGAAGACATTTGTCCTGTACTCTTAGTGCTTAATGCACTCAGCTCCAGATTTCCCTGGTAGGACAATGTCCCCCACCCATAGATATGGTGTACTACTGAACAGAAAAGTCCTTTGTTGGGACAAAGCTGTCCTGGGCCTAGGTTTACTTTGACACAGATTTCCTGCTTTCCTATTTAGATGGCCCTCCTCAGGTGCCTTTGCCAAGCTTTCTTTTTATTTGTGTTGGTGGTAGATAAATACAAATCAATGTGTGCCACCACTGTCTGTCCTTTTACTCTCAATCTATGTCTTTACAATTCATTGTGTCTGTAAATATCATATCGTTGGATTTCTAAGAAATCCACCTGACTTTTAGTGATCTAGTTCATTACTATTTATGGTGCTTGCTGATGTGTTTGGGTTTATTCCTACTCTGTTACTTGGGGCCTTCCCTGCTTCTTCTCCCCAATCTATGTCCTTCCTGCCACTTTTGGAAGGCACTTCCTAATTTCATATTCTTCTCTTTACTGATCTGAAAGTAATTGACTTTCTTTTCTTTCCATTAAAGTTTTAATGTTGGCAGGTTTTCTTTGAGAAACTTGCCCATGGCAGGTCTTTCTGCCATGAATCTTCCTTTTTCTTTCTCTTCTTCTCACTAATAAGCTCTGTTTTAAAACTTAAAAAGTAATAATAATAAAGTGTTAATGTTTACATTTAACAGTTGTAAATAAATCAGTTTCTCTACCCTTCTCCAAAATAGTACAAAGAACTAGGATATTTTAACTTTGATCATGTCTGCTCATCTTATGTGTAATAACTGGCCAGAACTTTCCTTTTTTTATTCTAGCAACCCCTACCCAAAATTAGTCATTAATATCATTAACATGTTTGTTAGTGTTTGCTTGGTTCTGCCCATATAGCTACATGTTTATTTTTTGGCCTAAAAAAATAAAGGTCTAAAACCCCCAAAAGCTCCTTCTCCCTGAAATACAACATTCAGTGAAGGTGTGTTGACAATGAATTTGGTTTTTGCATGTCTCAAATATTAACATCACCTTTCTCTCAGCACTTTAAACAGATTATTGCCAACTGGCTTCTCATGTACTGTTGAGAAGTCAGCTATCAATCTGTTTGGTTTTGTTTTTGTTGGTAGATAATCTGTCTTTGTTTTTAGGATTGTCTTTATCTATCATTTCAGCTCTGTCTGCTTAGAAACCATAAGGAATTCCCTGCTTTTCTTATGATAATCAAAGCATTGAAATGGGAATTTGTTTATTTTATTAAGCCCTTCTAAGTGTATTGTTGAGGAGGATTTTTTTTTCTTTTGTATAAATACTTCAGTTCCCTCTTGGGAGCTTGGCTGGAATAATTCTGTGGTGTGAGATGTTCTATACCAGAGGTCCCCAACCCCCGGGCCATGGGCCTCTACCAGTCTGTGGCCTGTTAGGAACTGAGTCATACAGCAGGAGGTAAGCAGCGGGTTAGTGAGCAAAGCCTCATCTGTATTTACAGATGCTTCCCATCACTCTTATTCCTGTCTGAGCTCTGCCTCCTGCCAGATCAGCAGCAGCATTAAATTCTCATAGGAGTGTGAATCCTATTGTGAACTGTGCATGCACAGGGATCTAGGTTGCATGCTCCTTATGAGAATCTTATGCCTGATGATCTGAGGTGGAGTTAAGGCGATGATGATAGACAGCACTAGGGAGCAGCTGCAAATAGATTAACATTAGCAGTGAGGTTTGACTGCACAGAGACCATAATAAATCAATTGCTTGCAGACTTATAGCAAAACCCTATCAAGTGAGCAGGAAGTGAGTGGATGTACTTCAATTGTACAGCTGTATCTGGTGGCAGGCTTTAAGTGACCTGCCCATTATTTTATTTACCACTTTCGTCCATGCCTCTTTTTCTAAATGGTGATATGTATAATTATTTCATTATATATTATGACATAATAGTAACAAATAAAGTGCATAATAAAGGTGATGTGTTTGAATCATCCCCAAACCATCCCTCCCCGCATCCCCGGTCCATGGAAAAATTGTCTTCCATAGAACCAGTCCCTGATGCCAAAAGTGCTTGAGGACTGCTGTTCTATATTATTTTCCAGGGCTTCCTCCAGGACTGGACTTCAGTTGTTCACTGTGGCGCTGGTTTAAGAACACACCCATTATTAGCTATCCTCTCTTTCCTGTAGTAACTCCTCTCACCCCTGCTGGCTCCCTGTGCCCATCAAAGACCTAAAGGTCCTTATCTTTGATTCAGATCTGTTACCTACTGCTGGAAGAAGCCCATAAAATATCCTGTGAGTGCCTGTCCAGTGAACCCCACTTTTTCTTATAGTAAACAATACTATCCTTCAGGGGAAAGTGTATAGTCTAACAAGAAATAAAGGTCAATATGTAAAGTTGTACTATGTAAAAATGCATAAGAATGTCTCAAAGAAACTATTTCAGAAGTTTAATAGTTCCCTGTAAGGTGGAATTATGGGTGATCTTTCCCAACTTCTTTATAACTTCTAAAGTTTCTACGATAAACATTACTTTGATAAATGGGGGGGAGGTACTAAAAACAACAATAACAACAACAACAAAACAACAGCCTAGCAATAATTAAATTCAGAAAGAGAAATGACAATGGAACTGGAGGTTTTTTAGTAAATCCCTTTTTCCCTATTCTTTTTGGTGTGGCCTTGACTGAGCTTGAAACCAGACCAGATAGGCTCAGCTTACTAGGTTTAATCACACAATTCTGCTTTCTTACAAAAGAACATCCTAGTTATTTATCTAGGACTTTTTTAACTCTAGAAACTTCAATTGTGCCAGCTCTGCTGGGAAGCCCTTCTGAATAGCAAGGGCACAAACTTGATGCAGCGGAGGTTAAATCTGACTTGTTCTTTCTTAGCTGCTGCGGCCTTGAACGAATTACCCGAACAACTCTGAGTACCAGCTTCTTCTTATTAGTTTGCATTCTTAATTAGAAGTGATAAAAGCCCAACTGAAATTTATATCATGCAAAAATGATCACTTCTTGGAAGTACTCATGAAAGAACCGACTACCCAGGCTTTAGAAATACTAGGTACAGGAAATATTAGGTCCAGGAATACAAACATCAAGGTATTCTTTGCTGTCACCTGTCCCTATTTCTCTCTGCATGGCCATGAAACTTCTAGGTCTTTTCTAGGTTTTATGTCCTCTGTCTTCAGTTACCAGGAAAATAATTAAAATTCTGAGGAGCCTTATTAGTCAACTGTAAGGTGTATCTCTTGAATCAATGAACAGGCAGGCATTTAAGGGTCACAAAAACCTCATGGTATAGGAGGCAGGATGAGTTCCTAGGAGCATGTGTATAAGGTGGGCAGTCCCTTGAAGCCCACTACAAATCTTGCTTACAGGGTTAGGGTAACATTTATGAGCTAACATAGGTAAAATTTAATTCTTCTAACTGGCATATTTTCAGTATCTACTAGATGACAAGGGTTATTCTAGGCATTAGAGAATCAGCAGAGAACAAAATACACAAGCACCCTTGTTCTAATAGACCATATAGTTTGGCTGAACACCTGGCCCACAGTAGCCACTCAATAAATCCCATACTCTCCAGTTGCTCCAGCCAACTTAATGATAGGAAGTGTCTATGAAGTGTTGGATTTCTGTGAAGTGCAGAGGGACGGCCAAGATTTGGGGATATGGCACGGTAGCAGTATGTCAAATGAGAACATCACAGGCTGTGTATGCAGTACCCTGACTCAGTAGATGTGGATCTTAAATAAGAGGCCCTGACACTGCTCCTTGCCGACCCTGCTCAGGCTAGTGGTCCCAGGTCTGTATATGTTATGTGTGGAGTGGGACAAGAAGATGGAAATGATCCCTCCTATTTTCACTTGAGTTTCTCAAAGCAGCCTGCTCTTCTACCAAAGTCAGGCTGACCATGTAGGGGAAACAACACTAGCCCAGATCTAGTGGTCTAATCCAGTGGGTGTCAGATTTCACAGAAAGCAGTTGAAGTGGGAGGATCAGATCCTGTGGCTTTTACAACATGGGCCAAGGGACCTTAAGGTATCTTGAAAGACACCTCTAAAGCTACAACCGCAAAACCACATGGAGGGGTCCTGAATCCATGCCTCCACCTCCACCCCAACTCTACTGTAGCAAGTTTGCTTTTGCTGTATGTCCTGTGGTTCCAAGTTTTTGTTTGGGAGGGAGAAAAAAAGAATTATCCTGAGATATGTATGTGTGTGTATATTTCATTTTCCTGATATATGTGTATGTATATATATATTTCATTTTCTGATAGCTGTATGTCACATGCCACACGGCAATGTTTCCATCAACAAACCACATACATGATGGGTCTCATAAGATTATAGTACTGTATTTTTAGTGTAACTTTTCTGTTTAGAAACACAAATACATTGTGTCACAACCACCTATAGTAATCAGTACAGTCACATGCTGTACAGGTATGTAGCCTACGAACAACAGGCTATACCATATAGCCTAGGTGTGTAATAAGCTTTCTCATCTAGGTTTAAGTCACTCTATGATGTTAACACAATGATTGCTACAATCTGTTTTGGCAACGACACTCTATGATTTGTGTGTGTGAGACCAGACTCAACCTTTTTGACAGGTAAGTCAATCACAAGATGGTTTATACAAATCCAAAGTTTTAATGGCAGTTAAATAATAAAAGGAAGGATAATGGCACTATATACACTCTGTCCAATTATGGAACTGTCAGCTGGTCATGCACATTTTATTGCACATATAAACAGTGTACAAGAATTCAAAGACATCTTAGCCATACAAGGACTGCAATTAAAAGGAAAAAAGAGCCATTTTACAAAATACTGAAGCCATTTATATTATACAGCCAACTTCAAGAAATAAAAATTAATATCAAAAGAAATATTTTAATTTTGAAAAAAATCTCTCAAAACAATGATTACAGAGCTTCATGTTGCCATATATACATGTAAAAAAATATTTCAGGACCCTGCATTCTAAATGTCCGTGAAGGTGCAGCAGTCTAAATTCCTATTTATATAATCAACCTTTGAATGTTGCTTAAGCTGTATACGCTCTTTGTTCAAAATGTCTTTCTTCTTTACATCATTATGCTATCTGACAAAACAGGTATTTGTGTAGTACAGAAAAATATTAAAATATGTTTTAAGTTAGGTTAAAGTGCACGGTACATTTGATAGGAAATAACTGCTAGCTGCCAATTCAATTTCCACTTGCAGAGACCCCCTCCATCTTCCCTAGAGCAAAGGGAAGCTTCGCGTTGGTTGATGTTGGCCTGTGTTGAAACACATGCATTCTCCTCCTGATGTCTTTTCTTTTGTGTTCACCTCTACATTTGTCTTACAAATTGTGGCTACTGCTGCTCTAAAATCTTCCAATGGCTTTTCATGGAGGGGTAAGTGCAGTCAGCTTTCCTAAGACTTTGAAAGATTAATGACCGGGATACCTGTAACTGCAGTGTGAGGGGACATGCATGTAACTGCCTACAAAGGGTTGTCATGTTCTGTGAAGCCATCTGTGACTTTCTCGGACCTACACGGGTTCCTTTCCTTGGCTGGCTCTTCTCTAGTCCTATTTTATTTACACATGCTCCCTCCCCGGCCACTCAGACTCACAAATTCCACTTACTTCCCCTTCTTAGGCTGCCGTGGTGGTGCGTGGAGCTGCCTACCGGACCACGGATGACTCACTTCTGAGGTTTCACACTAGAGACCATGAATCTTGCAGGATTTTTTACAGATGACTTTGAAAACCACTAACTAAATGAGAATAAAATGAGCACATTTCAGAATCATTTCCGCTCTTAAAACTGGCAGTTGTCAGAAGTGCTGATTTCCTAACCCAGGTCCTATGCGTCTTAAGTAATTTCTGTTACTCAGTCGAAGACTCCCTTACAAAGCTTTTTGGCTAAACAATAAACTTTTCATCATCTCCACTTTCCTATCCCATTTCTCCATTATCTACCTTTGGTGCTAGGCTCTCTTTAACGTAACCCAAGTTACAGTGCAAAATTAGACTTCAAGACACATGATGCTAACACTTAGTACTCCTTTGTATTAAAATGTGAATGTTTTGTGCATAGCAAAAGAAGTATGAATCCAAAAAAATAATTGTTCACATTTTATCTTCAAGTTTAATATGTCTTTTTTTTTCCATCATAGCTATTTACAAATAACTTTGGGGTGCTCTCTTGATTTCAGTCAGTCTTTGGAGACAACAGGGCTGCTGGAATGTAGGAAACTGGATGGAATGCAGAAATAGAAATAAAACCAATGTTCCACAAACCAAAGTGTCAATCATGCCTCCCCAGAAAACAACTTTATCATAAAAGCACCTGTTTTTTTTTTTTGCTTAATTTTTTGAATCATATGACCTCAGAGATATGATTACTGAGACCTAGAACTACTGCACACCAAAGATGATAGAAAATAACTCAATATTTATAATATTAAAATAAAGTGTTTAACCACAAAAAAGCAGTAATAAAATAGTTTCCTAATTTACAATTTGCATCCAAAGGATGAATAACAACTCACTAATAAATAATATTTATATAAATATTTTGTATGTCGAAAATAGTTTTTTAAAAGGCAATGGTCTCAAGAAACTTCTTGAATAATTTGGTGGTGAAAAACCTGATTGCACCCCTTCCCCACCCCCATTAAATATGTAATGAGCTGGGTTTTAATAAAACAAATGCGTCTTGCTGCAGAACGGTTGTGCTTGGCGTTTTGGTAATGGCAGTAGGTGAGTGTGGAAGGGTTTATGAAGGAGGGTGTCAAAGGCACTGATGTGCCACTCAGTCTTTCCCCAGCTCCCTCACCGGCTTCAAGAAAATACCTGGCAAGTCTTAACGTTGGAGATCAGCTCTGAAAGGCAAAAAATCCTCCTTCATCTTGAAAACCTTTTCAATGCAACTGGAGTCAGTGAACAGACAGGCAGTGGATGGGAGAGAGGGTTGAACAGGTGCCAGGAGCAGAGTTCAGGACCCTTGAAGGGAGCAGTCTGAGCCCACCCGAAAGAGAGAGGTTGGTTTCATGTGAACAGAGTCTTCGTGACAGTGACGTCTAGTAATGCTTGAACAGTGATGCCCACTTTGACCAGGCCTTTCTCTTCAAGGATGTGATGGGGCAGACATAGTTTTTCCTAAAAAGAAGAATAAAATATCAACTTGTAGATGATCACACTCTCTTCACACAATCCTGCCACACCATCAATGAAAGTTAGGCTGAGCACTCTCTATAGCACACCTATTGGATCACCTGGCCTATTCGCCTTCTCTTGCTTTTATCCCACTGCAAAGACCCTGACTGTGTTTACAGAGAAAATAATAATTTTCACATGTGAGGGTTGCTTCAGAAAGGCTCCTGATCACCCTACATATTCAGAATATTCCTAAATATTTAGGAAATTTCTATACTAAATAACTGAGCTATGCAGAGGCAGTTGGAAAAAACACACCAGGAATAGAATAGCTTCTATTCTTACAAAGAAAAATTGCAAATAGCCTCTTATACATTTTAAAGACATCCAGATATTCATTTATACCAACCACACACCATTATACTGACCACAGACCTTGATTTAATTCATTTTATTCCCTGTGATCTCTGGAATACAAGCATGTTGGTGAACTGGTGTCCTTCCTTCGTGGTTTATGAATAGTCTTTATAAATAAGTAATTTTAACAACAGCTCTCAATAGCCTTATTTTTAAGACTCTTTCATAAAACTGTCAAAGACACAAATGTTCTGCTAGTTTCTCATGTTGCATTTTTGCTCTTGGAAAATGTCCAGCACATACCGCTCAAGAAAAATAATCAACAGGAGTCACTTCTTGTGTGTAGAACCTTTCATGCTCCTCAAAACAGTTTCTAAAATAACATGATGAAATAATTTAAACCTTTATTTGACCCTGGTCTGATGTCACACAGGAGAATCTTCCAGGTTGTGTCTCCTTGGCTGGGAAAAGACTTCACAGCAAATACTCTCTCTTATCTACCTGATGGTGGAGTGTTCTCCACAGTCCAATGTTTGCTGTTTCTTTTTTTTTTTCTTTATTTAACTGACAAATAAAAACTGTACTTGTTTATGGTGTGATAGCTTGTTAAAAGTATGCATTATAAAATGGCTAAATCAAGTGAATTAACATATCCATTACCTCAGATACTTATTTTCTTGTGTGCTGAGAATTTAAAACCTATTCTATTAGCAATTTTCAGGTTTCACATTATTACTAACTACAGTTACTATGTTGTACAATTGATCTTTTAAACTTTCTTCTTGTCTTACTGAAACTTCTTATCCTTTGACGCACATCCCTATCACCCCACCCAGCCCCTGGTAACGACCATTCTACTCTCTGCTTTTGTGAATTCAACTTTGTTAGATTTCACATAATAGTGAAATCATGCAGTATTTGTCTTTCAGTGCTTGGCTTATTTCACTTAACACAATGTCCTCTAAGTTCATCCCTGTTGTTGCAAATGACAGGATTTCCTCTTTCTTTTTCTTTTTCAGGGTGGCTGATACTGCTTTTAAGGAGTGTAAATAGGATCTGCATCACACCCCAGGCAGTGGAGTCAGTGTTCAACAAGCAGGAAGTCAATCCACAGGATTCTTTAAGTGAAGAACCAAATCTTACTGCAGCCTCAATGCAGAACTCTCCATAAATTAGCCTGCGCTGAAAAGATCTTCAAAGGACATGCCATGCCATCTCCCATAACTTGTTCCACCATCTCAAACGTCAATGGGTCCTACACTCACCACCTTACTATTTTCCCACCTCTTCCCCTTCCCTAACCTGTAGCAAATCTCAAAGAATTTGATATTTTAACCTAGGTCTTAGGAAATGGCCTCAGACCAACATAAGACAGTTGATTCTCTTTTAAATCTTTATTTCATTTTTTTGTCGAGATGAGGGTCTCGCTATGCTGCTCTAGCTGGTCTTCAACTCCTGGTCTCAAGCAATCCTCCCACCTTGGCAGACAGTTATTTTTTTTTTTTAGTGAGAAAGCAAGGTATATTGAGAGGACAGAAAAGCTCCCACAGTGGAAGGGGACCTGAGGGAGTTGTCCGACAGTTGAGTCTTTAAAGCACAATTTTAACCATGGTTTCATGTCACTGCTATGTATCAAACTAGGATTCTCTTGTCAATAGCATATCAGCAGCCAAATGTCAACCTGAGGGAAAAAAAACAGTGGGAGGGGGGCGGGGTCTGCCTGAGTTTTAAGCTGTGAGCCAGGCGAGTATGAATGGTATTTCCTTTCGTGACACAGTGAGGAACATCCGCAGCCAGACATCGGTGTCCAGTCTCCCCTGGCACCATCTGCCACAGGCTTGTGAAATCACCTGAATCTGGCATTTCATTGCAGGTTCCACAGGGGCAGGAACATGCCTTCCTCGATCTGTGGCTCCCCCAGCATGCAAGTTGACATCTGGCTTGGCAGGAAATTATAAATGGCTGCTAAGTACAGTTAAGCTCCTGGTGCCAGGTATGTCTTGGGAAAAATGGGTCTTCATTTCATACCATATGCTAAAAATCAATTTGAAATAAAGAGCTGAATGTAAAAAACCCCAAAAAATCCAAATCACCTCTCCCAGTAAAATAAAGGTGAATATTTAGTACCTTCTCTGATAAATGGATGGGGAAGGTTTTCTAAGCCAAATAATCAATATTAAAAAAAAAAAATCACAAAGGAAAAAAATCAAAACAATTGATTGTCCAAATATTTAAAGCTTCCATGTCAAAAAATCCCCATATTTATGAGATGAACAACAAATTGTAAAAAAAAAAAATTATTTATATCAAATTACAAAGGGTTTTGTATGACACATAAGCTCAACAAATGAGTAAGAAAACCACTAAGATATCAATAGAAATGCAAATAGAAAGTTTTAAATGGGGGATTTGCCCAAGGCAGTGGAGCAAGACATTTTGCTTCTCAACCTCAGTGTTTACTTATGTTTAGTCCTGAATAAGACTGAATTATAGTACTAACATTTCCACAGAAGTGTGTGCAACATAGCTTTTATGGGGCAAGATTTCCTCCCCCGAGTCCTGACAGGCTGACTGGAGGGTGGCATGTCTCCTCCAGTTAGAGACAGCCCCTGTACCATAAATGAGCTGTGGCTCCAGGGGTCTGCAGAGGGCTCCAGAGAGACAGGGATAGGAAGGTACTGAAGCCTCAGCCTCATGATAATAGGACATGTGGACACCTTACCGATTGAGTTAGGTTATGGCCACCCTCTTTCCCAGGCCCATGTTTTTCCAACCAGCATTTCTCACCTTCCTGTTCTCCATAGGCCTAAGCCAGGTGCAGAGTTCAAGATTCTCCCTTCCATCTTAAGCTAGTGATGAGGAATACACAGAAGACATAAAAAGGTGCTCCTTGTATCCTTCCTGCCTTTCCCTTTCATTCAGATTCTCTGAAGAAGCCTAGAAGGGCCCTCAGACTACCGTGCTGAGATTGAAGGCACCTACGAAGACTAGCATAGGAAACTAGAAACCTTACAGAAGCATGGCAGTGCTGGCTGTTTTATCACAGAACTGGGTTGAAGACTCCAGATGGGAATTACACCTTGAGGCCCTGGTTAGAAAAGGATGACCAAGGGGAGCCTGCCAGAAACAGGAAGGGGTCCCAAGGAGTGGTCAGAGGCCATTTGCCATCACATCAGTTGAGCCACTGCCTCTCCCACAGGGGAGGGGATCCCTGAAGTGAGTGTAGAAGTTAGGATGCAGTAGACTAACAGCTGGATAAAAAGTGGCACAGCAGAAAGGCCCTCCCAAGGACCAGGCAGGTGAGGTGGCCCTTATTGAAGATTACTTGCACACAACAGACTTATAGCAGAGAGAGCTATATGCTCACACTGATTTGAATTTAAGTAGCACTGTTATAGGACCCTAGTGGTTTCTGTTGAGACTGTGACAGAAGACTCTTTGTATGCCCATGGACTCCTTGTGTTGTGTTTCTTTTTAAAGCACAGAGCAAAGTCATGAAGTAATGTGCTGCATAAAAATAATGCTTCTGAACTTGGATAGATTTAGAGTCTATCATACTCAGTGATCTATCACAGAAACAAAGAACAAAGTACCATATGTTCTCACTCATGAGCAGACCTTGAACAATTATCATTAATACTATAAGAAAGGGATTGGCAATAGTGGGAAACTGCCAGGGGAGAGAGGGGCATACCTCATCAACAAGGGCACCTGCATAATGAACATTTGTATACCTAACCCTGAATTGTAGCCCACATCTTAAAAATAACAATAAATAAATAATGCTTCTGACCCTCTTTGAAGAACTCATGTTTTGTGTTACTTCTCCAATGGTGAAATCTACTAGGTATCCCCTCAACCTCATCATCCATTCTTCTTCCTTTTTTTGAGACAAGGTCTTGCTCTGTCACCAAGGCTGGAGGGCAGTGGCATGATCACAGATCACAGCTCACTGCAGCCATGAATTACTGGGCTCAAGTGATCCTCCCACCTCCACCACCATGCCTGGCCCCACACTTGTTCTGAGTCACAGCGAACATAGTTAGAAACGACAGCTAGCAAAAAAGACTAAATGCTAACTTTGAAAAACTTCTTGGCTGCCTCCTAAATGCCTGGCACCAATGCTACAGATCTGCATTGGCTCTTTATGACAATCCTGCAAGGTAGGCATTAATATCTGCACTTCACAGATAGGAGGACGGAGACAGAGAGAGTTCAAGTAACCTTGCTAATGTTACACAGTTAGTAAGTTCAGGAATCCAGATTTGAACCACACATGTCTGTTTTTAGAGCTGGGCTTTTTCCATGACATTGTACCACTTCCCATAAATTCCTCACTTGACAGGTGAGTATGTTCAGACTGTAGTCATGGCATGGGAAGAGGTCTCTCGGCCCTCAGAGTTCTTTCATGGAAAAATCCCATCGATTTCAACATCATGTGGGACCAGCAAATCCTCACCTCAGTGGCAGGCTTAGCTCTGCCACTCACCTCATCTGGCTTCTCTTCATATCGAGGGTCAGACATCTTGTCCTGACAGGAAATGACTTGTGGTAGCAGGCTGAGCTTGGTTTTGCTCTCTCTATAGCTTCTGCTGCTCCCAAAGAGACACACGCCTACTTCTAGGCCAGCCACTAGACTAAAATGA